TAATAAGATATTTTTCCAATGTTGTATAACAAATGAATAAAACGAATAAAAGTTGTAAATGTTTAAACATTTGAAAAAAAGATTATAGTTTAAAGATAATAGTAAGAGAATCTGAATGATGCAGAAAAAAACATCGAAATTATAAGAAATTTCACCTTCCTGTTCTGATAACATGAAATAAACATTAAAAATTTGTTTAATGGCAAGAATTCATAAGGAAATTGAAAAAAATACAAATAATAATTGGCTGTGATTTAATGTCAACTGGAGTCCATACTATACAAAACGAAAAATATTCACGTTGTGATGAAATAATACGAATAATTGCTAGTTCTGTCTTTGTGTGACGTTTGTAAGAATCCACATCTCTGGCAATTGTCGCTAACCAAAACTGAATACATCGTGCATATTGAGCAATGTACTCAGTTTCACCTATCACAAGAAGATAGTTTCTAAAAGAATTTTATTCATTTCGAGATAGTAAAAGCGAAAGTACTTATATGACGCACACGAAACTAATAGCAGTGATACATAGCAGTGATGGTATAGTCGACACTATACATAAAAACCACATACAGTAAATTGTTACGTTTTGATTTTATGCTTATGAAAGATTACAAAATTGTACTGGAGCCAGAAAAATTCACTCGTAAGAGTTCCGAAACTAGTTTTCGGTTAACTGAATTTTGGGTCATCATATATAAGTATGTATTGTATTATTTTTGATGTTTTATTTTAATTAAATAATTTTACTTTAATTTCAGATGGCCTTATCGGTTTACTTTATCTTTTTCCTACTTGCTACAACTGTTATCTGCTACCCTTCTTTTCTCGGTAGGAATTCTCTATTATCAATAATATCTATACAAAGAAAAAGAAAAAGATTAAATTGTCATATTTATTTTTTGCTTACAGAATGGAAGAAACGGAGTAACTTCAAATCGTAAGTCCAGTTTCATTTATTTATGTATTTATTTTTGTAACCATTAGATATTTATAATATAGATAAAATTCGAATTTTATAGTTCTTCGAGCTGTGAACGTGACTCAGATTGCGAAAAGGACAAATGGTGTAACTATAATTGTTATGGCATCTTTGGGTTTTCCTGTAGTGGAGAATGTATAAAGTGCTAATGATATTTCATGTATTTGACGAAAGTAATAAAAAAATTACCTTAATAATAGTAACTGTTTAACCCCTTAACGACCATTTTAATAAAAAAATCTTTTTTAAAAGCCCAGTCATTATTATTACTTAAAAAAATTTTCATTTCAATTGAAAAAAGTGGTTTTTTCGATTTTTCAAATTTGGCAAAAATTGGTTCCTAAATGGAGCTTTCCCTCTGGATAGCCAACTTTACAGGGGCTACTCGCAGCCTGCATCGGTGGCTTTCCTGCATGCTTCGCTAGCGTGCAGAAAAGATGCCATTCGTCGGTTAGCTTTAAAAATAATTTAAAAACAAAAACATGACAAAACATAACATGAATATAAATTTATTGATATAAAAACATATATTAAATGATTACAATAATAAAATACAATATTATTTATACTATTGAAAAATAAAAATAATAACTTGATATAAAGTAATACATTTACGCTTAAAGAAATACTATAAAATAAGTGAATAAAAATTAAAATTATATAATTATTAATAAAAATATATATTTATATATTATTTAAAGTTAAAAGTAAGAAAGGCATGTGAACAAATGTTTGTTTCATCCAATAAACAAAAGAAGGGTGTTCCATAGATATAACATGGGAAGGAGGAGTTTTGTAGAAACTGTAATCAAGTCTGTAGCGATCTAAGCTTTGATTTGCTTCTATGTATGTGTCTTTTGACTGTATCAGCCAATAAATGTTTTGTTACCACCTCCGGACCATAAATATTTAGCGAAATACCGTCCTCTCCCAGTGTAAAGTAATTAGAGGCGGGGAGGCAGATTATTCGCTGATAAAATTGATAGTCAACTTCTGTTATACTGTAGTTGGTTACTTTCTGTCTATGTTGATATTAAATCAACGAATTAGCCACCTGTGAAAACAGTAAAGGTCAAGTTTTCGCTAAGTGCCATCCCACTAAGGCTACGATCTTTGAAATATGTAAACAATCGTTATAAAATTGCTTCTTTCTATAGCATTTTTTAGCTCTAATTAGCTAATTTGTGAAATCTGAAATTTATTATTTTAAAAATGTAATTATTTTTTCTTCTGCTATATAACGGATTGATAAAAACGATCTTAGTCGAAAACATTTGAAGCCCTCCTTTCATAACTGTCAACATTCTATTGTTCCCCTACAGCCTGCAGCTCGACTTGCACAAAAGTTTATACTTATCCAAATGTCGTCATTTATTTTAGTCCCGGGAACACCTATAACCTTTATCTCCTATAACAACCGATCACGTGACGACATCGGATATCGTCGAGTTGAATCTCCGAACTCGCCATAAATTCCGAATTTCCAACATCGAATACTTTTGTGACAGGCTTCTAGAAGGTCAAGAAGGAAGGACCACGTGCAAACGACGAACATTGAAAGACGGGAAAAAGAAACTTTACATAATTATTTATGATCGTTTGTATATGTTTGTAGCTGATTAGTCGCGAACTTTTATAATTGTGCCAATTTGGATTACCGCAAAAACCCATTTATAGGATGTGTGTAACATTATTAAACTCGAATCCTCATGGAAACCTACAAAGAGGTATGAAAATCCGTGTAAACTCTCTCTCTCTCTCTAGCTCTTAGGCGTTTTAGCGTCGAGATTAGTGTTTGTAGTTTTTGTCAATCTTGTTTATTTTAATAAATTATCGTTTTATTTGTTAAATGGTATACTCCTTTACTCGTATACAGTCTACGCCTTATCGTCGACCCCGATTACTCTTCCTCCACTCGACCGACATAGAGCAGAAGTCCCGACACTAAGGATGACTATCGTAACATAGCATCTTGACAAGTGAGACCATCCCCGACTTCCCTGGCGGTTCGCAAATTTATTCTTAGTATTTAGGTTAGTAAACATTATTTTAGAACTGTGAAGTTATAAGTTATTTGGGAAAGTGAACCCTTCCTCTCGCTGTTACATAATATGAGAAAATATGTAAAGAATTGCATGCGAAATTGCGTAGTATAGTCGATTATTGTAAAAATCGTCGAAATAATATAAAAATAATGTTTCTTATACATTATCGCTAAGAAAACTTGTGTGGACTTCGACCCTCAGATGACTCATCCACTCCCTGCTGGGAGAGTAATTAGAGAAGTAGTGTGAATAATGGCAATATCTTCTTACTTGCTGTAGCTAAAAGGCTGTGGTTTGTTTTGTTTTCGAACAAAGGATGTGTGTGACTAATAAATCTACGATATTTTTAGCGAATTTATATAAATAAATATATTATTTTCTGTTTTGTTCGGAAATTTCAAATTTTATTATAATTTCAAATTCGTGATAAACAAAATACAAAACTACGGTAAACTGTAATATGACTTTGCTAGAAAACAAAAAACAGAGTGAATGTAGCGCGAATTTGAAAGGAGATACCACATTTGAAAAAATACTTGCATTCCTAAAAGTGCTTTTCCTGCAAAATATCGTGTTTTTGATAGAAGAATGCAGAGTTTTTATAAAAATTCTGTATATGAACATTTTTCATTACCTTATTATCAGAAAAAGATTTTATTTGTTCCACATTGCTCGACCCACACTACCCCCTAGAGTTTCTTACGAAGAGAAAAATAATATATTGTAAACAAAGACATTTTACACCCTGAGGCTCTAGAAAAGTGCAGTTCGTTTAGTACAGAAGACAACAAATTACTTTACATTATAAAATCTGCAAATAAAACCTATTGATTTATTTTTATTCTATGGCTTTTTCGAAAATAAATTTACAATAATTCAAATAACACAAATTTCCAATAATACATGTAAATATTATTGTAAATTTGTGTTTTATAGATAAAATTAGATCAAATGATTTTAGATAAAAATAAAATAAAAAATAGAAACTGCAAGAATATATTCAACAATCTGTACGAAACAATCGATATATAAACTTAAGAAAAAATTACTCTAGACAATCCTGTTATTTTATTTTTCCTTCTGGGATTCGACAATTACATGCAGGACTGTCAAAGAACTTTTATTATAAAAGCTTATTTATATGAATATCTTTACACAAATACAAAAAAAATTCTTTATATCACAGTAATACTTATTCTATAATAGTTTCTAGCCTTATATGTTGACATAAAAAGCTTTACTATAAGCTCCCACAAAAAATCAAAATAATTTATAATACACCATTTTATAAAATAAATTTATAAAAAATTTTAGTATAAATCTTCATTTATTTTATAATGTATTATTTAGAAACTTATTATTTTTCATGTAACACAATACTCGCAAAAACACACTCGATACAAGCTTCAGTACAGATACGCAGCTGGACGACCTTGAAAACAGCTGATTGTAAACTTTCGCGGGTTGTTCCCAACAACAGCCTGAGGGGAAGTAGGTTTTCTACACGCGTCTGAACTAGTTATTGCAAATACTCGATTGTATTACGTTATTTTCCGATAATTTTTTTTTATTTTCGTTATTACTTATATTAAATGCTAAACTAAACCTCATTAAAATATACAATCGACCATTTGTAAATTCTAAAATCTTCAGAATTTAAGAACAGTCAATTTGATTCACAATTGGGGATACAGACGTCGAGTCTAAGTGTGTATTTAGATTATGTGTATGTAATAAATCTCTTTAATAAAAAAAGTTACACTTATTATAAATATCTCAGAATACTTACGTAATAATAGAAATAGTCCGAACTGTTTGTTACTATATGAGCGAGACGAATAACGAGGAAAATAATAAAAAATTATGTCATCGTTATCTTCGATAAGAGCAAGGAATAATGAATCATTCTAATTATTCTCGTAATTTATCCGCTTTAGCTGTCAGTCGACAATTAACAGTTGTTATAACAAACAGTTGTTATAACAAATGCTAGTGTATTGCAATAAGACTCTCGTCTCACTTAAAATAGAAGAAGGGACAAGACTCTGAGCAGAAAAGATGAGGTTGGTAATCCTTTTTCCATTCCTATTCTCGCTAGTAAATTGCTGCCAAGATTTCTGGAACCAATGGGGAAACTTCTCGTGTAAATCGCCGATATACAAATGTCATAGAATAAATGATTTTTATATTATAAACGGCACAGAAATAGTACTTCATTGGAGTCGTACGAAACTTAACTCTTGTATATTGAATGCTGATAGGTGCCATCTATCCAATAAGCATTCGTTTGTGAAAATCTTCAACAATACATTATCTGTCACATGCAGCGACGAAGAAACCATCGATTTTCGTTTGATGCATTGTTTAAATGTTAAACACGTTAAAAATTTAGAATTTATCGATTGTCACTTGGCGAATTTTGACGTCGAAAGATTCGCTTCGAATTACGCCATAGAAAAAATCGCCATTAAATATACCTTAAAATCCGAATATGAAAGTGAAACGTTGAATTTCGAAAGTGCATCATTTATAAATATGTCGTCTCTGAAATATTTAGAAATTGACGGCGTAAGAACTTTCCCCATATTCAATTTGAGTTTTCACGGCGATTCTTCTCTGATTTCTTTGAAAATCACGCATTATAATTTCATGCTGTTTCTGCCCAGACCATTCCAACAATTGAAAAATCTTTCTGAATTACATGTGAACTTTGGCAAATTAAAGGCTTTGCCAAAAGAACTGTTTCATGGTCTTTATAATTTGAAAACTCTGGATTTAAGTTACAACCTAATTGAATTGGTCCATCCTGTAGTCTTTCGACATCTCACTTTATTGGAACAGTTAAATTTAAAAGAAAACCCAATAAAAAGATTTCTTCATAACTTGTTGAGAGGTCTTACGAATTTAAGGATACTTTCTATTTCTGGAAATTTTTCTGAATTGCGCTCTGTATTTTTGAAGGGACTCGACAATCTGACAGAATTTCGCGCTTCTAATTTTCCTTCACTTCGAATCGAAGATTTCTTTTCCCATTCCATGAACTTAAGAAAGATTGTTTTCGATTCGAACCAAGTTCTTCATCTTCCATCCAATCTGCTCAAAAATAATAAAAATCTGGAAGTTTTTCAATTCATATCGAATGGATTATTGACACTACCGAATGGAATTTTCGACGGACCTTTCAACTTGAAAGAAATCAATATGAAAAAAAATGATCTAGACAATATTCCAGAAAATTCTTTTCAACATTTGTCGAATCTGGAAGAATTAGATTTAGCATATAATCGCTTGACATTTTTACCTAAAAACATTTTTCTTCCAACGAAGAACTTACGACTTCTCGATCTTTGTGGTAACAATTTCAGTAAAATTTCTTTCGATTTCAACAATAAACTCGAAAAACTCTATTTGGGTAAAGCGGGTTTGACAGAATGGCCGAATTTAAATTGGACAAAATACAATTTGACTTATGTTTATGCTGCATTTAACCACTTCGAAACTGTCAAATTGCCGATTTACACTCCGAACCGCATGGAGATCGATTTAGATTTCTGTCACATAAAAACAATTTACATCGATGAAAGAAAATACGGATTCAATAGACCCAATTATCAATTAAGTTATATGTTCACAATGATGAATATGTTCACAATGAACGACACATACACCAAATAGCATTATTTGTATCAAAATATAAATTTATAAAAGCAATAATAAGATTTAGTGCATGTAAAATATGCACTAAATTTCAGCGGAATGTTTCTTATTTTATATATTCGAGCAATCTTGTATGGCCGATGTTCCTGCTAAAAAGTGGGGAAAAAATTAATTATCTGTAGTCTTCTAAGCAAGTAATCATTTACTAAAACATTTATTATTATATTATCAATCTCATACAGCAGAAAATTTACAATAATAATTAAGTTATTATTATTATTTAATTATTTATTTTTATTTATTTAGACATACTAAGAAAACCCACGATACGAGAAATAAATACAACAAAAAATAGAATATACATAAATAAAATACAAATTATACAAAACCAATACTAAGAAATAAAATTTGAAACAAAATATCAACATATATATTGTGGAAAAAAAAATTAACTACACCCATCTGCAAGACAAAAAAAGTTTATTATTACGTCGAACAGCGGATAGTCTCTCAACATTTCTTTTTTACACTGTACTGTTTCATACGAAAATTATCGTCTTCTCTGTTTTTTATCCGATAAGCGTTGTCCGTTGTTTAGGTGAAGCCACCTGTTCGATAGATCGTTCCACTACCAGCACGTTTGGACAAGGGGAAGTGGAAGCGGTAGGCCTTTTCCATTTTCTCCTGGCTCCATGTTTGTTTCTTCGGGTTTTCTCTGGCTTGTTTAGTTAGGCTCTGAGCGTCTGAAAATTATAAAAAAATCAATTCGAAAAAATCAGTTTAAAAGAACACTTATCTATCTAGAAGTTTAACCAAAATAACTTCAGAATTTAACTACTTATTTACAGTTTTAGGTGTCTATTTCTAATTTTTTCATTCATCTACCACATACTTTTACAAAATTTATTCCATGGTTTGAAGTTGTAGGTAATACAGAATACCAGAGGAGTCGGTTTTCATGTTAAAAGAACCAATGGGTTCTTATTTCACGCATCGCCATCTTAGGTTAACTTAATTATTGTCGACATCAAAGTTTAAAAACGTGAACATCAGACAGACTAATATGTAGTCGTAGGCCTCTAGAACGGGACACGTGCAGCAGGGAACCTACAACTACGTGATCTATGTTTTAGAAGTAATTAAATTTACTTACCATTGAAAAATTTGGAATTGCAAAAAAACACAAACGTTCTGTTTCACTGAGCGCAACCGCATAACTGAAGTGGAAGGCGTCCTCCCCTTGTTACGGATGTGTGCCTAGTGCGTCTCAGTTACAATTTGCTAGAGTTCATGTATTATCAGTCTGAAATGAAGGTTCAGACTGATTAGGTTATTTTCAGGTTCCATAATACCACCTCTTTTTCTAATAATAATAACAACATAAAGAAAAATTATTTTATTGTATAAATCATTTTAAAAAATTTTCAAGATGCCAACGAGATTAAGGACATCACGAGTGTGAGCAAAGTTCTGTTTTCTGTAAAGCCGGAATATTTTCACCGTAAAAGTTTTTAATCGTAAATATAAGTATTTTTTATGCAAGATGTGTATTAGTTTACACCACCTTTCAAGATATCACGCAAGGAAATAGTACGTTGTAACCTATCGTAATATAAAACAATTTGTAACATGAGAAGTCCGTGTTTATGTTTAATTGTGTAGCCGAAAAAAGAGGGCTTATGCCCGAAACGTCTTTCGTCCACAAGATGTTCCCGAATAAAGATCAATGTCACAGACGCCCAGCATCTGTCTATGCACCTAGTTGTGAGAGAAAAAACAGTTAAAAGATTACTCAATTTAAGAATAGTTAACTAATAGTCAGGAAGATGCTTCCTAACGTATGCAGAAACACCTTATCTCACTGACAATTATTTATTTATCGTTACCAACGTTTTCATTTCAAAATAGTTAATTAACGCTGCGATCGGTAACACCGATCCGAAATCCGGTACACTACTCCTGTACAGCTCCCCTACCGTTTGGGAGACAAGTCCCTTAGCTAAGTGCTAAGCAAGTAGCGACCTATCGCAAAAAATGGCCATCCTTGCCTGGCCCAATGACCCGGCTAGGCATACAGACTTTCCGAAGATTCCGTGTTGAAGTAAACTTTTGAGAATCTTTTAAGAAATAACAAACTCCTGACACAATTTTCCTTTTTCGGTAATGAAATAGCGACACTTTCGACAGAAATATTTCATGGACTTTCTGAACTGCGATTTTTAACGTTGGGCGAAAACCAGTTAGAAAGTCTTCTCGAAGATGTTTTTCAGAATTTGTCGTCATTGCAGTTTCTCGATTTATCAATCAATCCCTGACATTTTTGCACGAGAATATTTCCCTCCCATTGACTAACTTAACGAATATCAATCTAACTGACAACAATTTAACTGAAATTAGTGATAAACGTCTCGATTATATGTACAGATTGTTTTAAAGATTTTGAAAATCGTACATTTAAGTAGAGAATTATGAGTATTTAACGCTTTAGATAGAAATTGATATTTTCACGTAAAGATAAAGCAAAAAGACCAGGCTAAATATCTCGTCAATTAGTTTAATCGTGAAATTTTATTTTGCCAGTATTTATATATTTGTACAGTATTAGAAAGTAATTTACCTAGTGTAAAATCCGCGACTTTTACGCCGACGTCGGAAAAATTTTTGTAAACAACTCCGATGGGAAAAACTCACTCTTGGTGAGAAGTATATCGTAGGTCACCGATTGTTTTCACATTAAGGTGAGAAAGTTGACAGTTAGTTGATCGGAATGCACCGTAAGTGTCAACAGAAGTCGATCACGTGACTCATTTCCCACGAATAACGTATAAAAGCTCGAGTCCCCGAAAGCTCCGGGCGATCCCTCGGAAGTTATACTTGTTAGATGTGCCATATTTGTCTCCATACTCCGGACCGAAAGGACATACGACCAATCACAGCCATGTGAACTTCCATCGCCATTAACGAACCTATTCAACGAACGCATATTAGACATAACCGCATAGAGGTATTTGTACTTTTTAGAGCTTTGTGAACTCTCTCTCAGACTAGAAGTAAAGCTATTAGAGCGTCCCTTTTGTATAGTGAACTTATTTAATCGCATTTAACCTATGTATCCTAGCTTAGTTATATAAATAAATGCTTGTTTAGTTTTAAACCTGTCTCCTGTCTCTGATGTACACCTGCCGACTTACCGACGCACTCCCCACTCAAATTTTTCCTCTCCTAGCCATACGACAAGCCGAGAACGTGTTTCACCAACCTGATGCAGAGTAAGTGGTCATTTGGGATGAGCCCAGTGGCCCACTGCTAAACGCACACTAACCTGTCTACTAGAAACAAGTTGTTTTGTTGCTTTCTCCAAAGTTTTCGTTCGAAAACATCTGCTTCCGCGTTACACAGGTTCGAATTTCCATAAAATTTAGCATACGCTTTGTACAGGTTTCGTTTTATTTCGACTATTATTTCTGTTGCCTTTCCTTTCATTCCTTGCCCTTTCTTTGTATTAAGTCGTGCTCTTTCTTTACGCCATCACGCACTTATGAGTGCGCATTACAGTACAACTTCATACACAAAATCTATAGTGTTGAAAATTTCCGACGTTTTCTGTTGTAAATAATGACCGACAGGAAAAACGGAACTTACGCTAGAAAACGGAACTCGCATGCTTCAGAGCAGGTTGTAACTTCCGGCAGTGGTTAAGAGAGGATTGGCTGAATACGATTGTATTAATTTGGCACTTAAAAAGGGAATTGGCCTACTGGAAATTTTTTTATCTGCAGTAAACACAACGGGTTTACACTCTTATTGTTAAACACTGATTCATAAATCTTTCGATTTTAAACAATGTAAAACAAAATTGTCGTTTCGTAAATGGCGCGTTACGTCGCAGCTTCCGAATAATTTACAATACCCTTCGCTTTTACTAGCCTCGTGTCGTAACGTACGGAAAACGACGTAATTTGACACCTATGATGACGTAATTTCTGTTATCGATTCAAATGTTCTCGTCGTCTAACAACATTTACGTGTCCTCTGTAATGACGTGCAATACACATTTCAAAAACAGTTCTACATAATAGACAATCACTAGTTATTGAAAGATCAGCGGTAAGATGAAGAATTATCTATTTATTTCTGTAAATGCAAACGATAGAAAAAGTAATTACCGACAGAAAGTAAAGTAAAACTTTAAATCTGAAAATGACCGCATTTACTATAATTATTTCCTTATCTTTTAAGCTATTAACTTTCAGTTTTAAACTTTATTTTTTTCGGATTATCTTTTATAAAAGTTGCATATTTTTCCTGATAATTTCTTGTTTTAAGTTATTTATTTTTGGCGCAATCTGCCTCGTTTAATTTAAGTTTCTTATTCGAAGATGAAATTTATTTATATTTTTTAAATATTCATGAATTATCTGCCAAAGTTTCGCATTCATTCGCACTTTTATTAATTTAATCAAATGCTTTATAAATTACAAATAGTCGGAGTTTCATTCACACAGGAAATTATTTTTGTTGTATTTAAATTACTTTTTTGCTGTTATCTTTACGTATGAAAAGAAGGCATTTTATTTTATATTAACTTTTAGGAAAAAATAATATAAATCGCAGGAAATATTTTATATTTCGTCGTAAAATGATTGAAATTTCATCCAACGAAATAATTTCAATTTGAACGAATATAAAACGAACACATTTTACACTCATTTATCAACTTCTCATTATAATAATTTAACTGCAGCCAGACAAAAACATTCTTTTGTGTCACAAAACACAATTGATTAACACTATTAAAATACGTCTTAGAAAAATAAAAAAAAATACTATTATATTTACAATGTCAGTTTGTTTAGTCGATCAATTTTCGTGTAATAAATGTGCGAAACAAAATTTTTATTCGTAAAATATTCGTTTAACGTTAATCGTATGTTGTCCCTATTAATACAACGGAAATAAGCG